TCTGTTACTGATCTTATTCTCAATTCTGTTTGTTTTCTTTTTTCTGTTTCTATCTGATAAAACCTGTAACATAGGTATTCTTTTACAAGAGCTTATGAGTGGCATGTTAGTAAAGAAAATATAACAAGATTCTTGACTCAGGCAGGTGAGAGAACAGAAGATGACGTTTATCACTAATGAATTAAGGGCTGAACGATGAAATCCCTCTCATTTTCTCCATGTAGTCATGTTTTCAGACCTTTGAGCAAAAGTATAAACAAATGACTCAGAGGATGAAGGAGATCTCTGCTCCATTCTAGGATAGGGGTTTCCAGGGACCCTGCTCTACCAAGCAGCCCCGAGGTCTGACTCAAACAGTGCAGAGGGACTTGGAATACATGGTGGCAGTGAGTGGCAGAGGAAGGGAGTCCCTTCACAGCATGTGCAGATGTCTAACATCTGGAAGCTTGAGAGCTGAGGCTACCAGTTAAACCATTAGGGCAAAGCAGTTCCGAGAGACAGGGCTCAGCTTTCTGGTCCACATGAGGCAGTGTTGCTCAGTGTTTACAATGCACTGAGCCTTATCTCTAAGGGTGTCCATCTCTAGACACAGGCAGTGTTTTGTGGTCTACCGAGCACACTCATGCCCTTCATCCCACTTGAGACTGTGAGCAGATCAAAGGACTATTGTCACCAGCCCTTGTCATTATGCTACTTTCTGTTTCATCATTTAAAACAGTACATGACCCAAGTGCCAATGGATAGATACAATCAGCAATGGACATACCAGATTTTTACCTGTCAAATGTAGATAATAATCCTACTGTTCATGTCTGTTGTGGAGATGAACTCAAATCCTGCTCTAAAGGTCCTGACAAGTGGCTGTCACATCAAAAAGGGTAAAAGAAAGTATTTTCAAAGAAAAACAAAGTAGTTTAAATGTTGAGCAGTGGAATCCCAGGGCATCCTTCCTTCCTGAATGTGTGAGGGATGGCTACCTCAGACTTGTCAAGCCCCATGGGCCTCATGCAGCAGAAAGCCTTGCAGAGCTAGGTGTGGCTACCTAGGTTCACCACCGTCCACTCCACCCATCTGTCCTCCAGGTGAGCAGGTAAGAAACCCCTTCATCTTGTCAGAAAGAACAAGAAAGGCAGCACCAGAGAGGCTAGGTGGCTAAACCTGATGAGCTTCAGAGGCAGAGTGAGGCCTCATTGGAAGGGAGCAGAGCTTCCAGAATGGGTGATGGATGGAGTCCTGCTGATCTGGCCTAGCCAGTGTGACAAAAGCAGGCGGTCACTGGTCCTCTTGAGATGCTTCAAGTCTTCCACATTGCCTTCACTTAGGAGAAGGGTTAACTTCAGCAGAGAGAAGCTCTGTTGCTTTCCTGAGTCCCCCCAATTCCCAAAGCACTCACTCGTACCTCAGGCCCCAAACAGAGCTCAGAGTCCCTTTTCCACAGAGTCCTCTCTAGATACAGAGCAGCTCATGTCCACAGGGTCTGCTTTCTGCAGCCGTACGAGGTGACTCTGGGCCACAGCAGAAAGAATGGCCCCGCTTCTCTTTGACTTCTAAAGACGGCTGCAATGCCGTAAGAGAACCGGGAGCACGCTGGAGCCTGGTGAGGGCTCTCACACTTCCGTACCACACGCACTCAGCCGTAGGATGGAAGTAACCACATGTCAAATTCACACGGCATTTTAAGAATTATATGGCATAACTACACCAGCTTGTCAGAACTAATCTATTCAATAACTTATTTGTTTGCTTCATGAGACATTGTCCCACAAGCCAATGTGTCCTGCCAAATTCAGCCACCCTTACTAAGATCTACCTTCTAATCTTCCCCCAAATTGTTATCAGAATGTGCCGGTTCTTATGGATTTGGGCTCAGCTCTCTTTCCTGGCCTGAACCAAGCTCAAAGCCATTTAGCTCTTCTTTGGGATGCCAATGATTACAGAAAAAAAACTTATGATCAAAAGAGACAATTGCAATTCTTTCTTATATAAAAATCCCTGTCAGTACTCATCTTCTCTAAAATTAAAATTAAAATTACAATCTACAGAAGTGATCAAGCTGCCTGTGTGATATACTGGCACAATGGTGGCACAAATGTGTGGAATTAACAAACCACTCTGATTGGAATTAAGGGCCATTCCATGAGATGGAACTCATGCCTGACTCTGCTTCCGTGATCAAGAATCTGAGACTGCATAAGCCATGAGCCAAACAGCATTGCTCTACTAAAGCAACAGAGCAATAAAATTATTCCTAACATTCTGCTGCACCCATAGGTCACTGCCTTACTCCGCCATCATCAGAGAAGCTTCTTCCTACAGCAGTAGGTCAGAACTAGCACAGAGACCCACAGTTGGGCAATGGCAGAGAGTGACAGACCTTGGAACACTTGGTTCTAATGGAATATCTTCATCAAACGCCTCCCCTCGGGTTCCGGGAGCCCTGCAGAAGAGGAGGTGGAAAGATGGTAAGAGTCAGAAGGGATGGAGAACTCTGAGAAAATAGTGTCTTCTAGATACAACAGGACCAACACATATATACACACAGAGAGACTGTGGCAACATGCACAAGGCATTTGTAGGTCTAAGCCAGGTGGGTCCCAGCACAGGAAAAGGGGGAGTAGACCTGGACTGCCATCCCTGACCAACTAACATCTCCAATTAACATCCTC